AATTCAGTGCATCAAGGACCTATTTAATATTTCTTTCTCTTTCCATTCTAAGGTTACAAGTCCTGCACTACAACCTTCATTCAATCCTATTAATATTATGTAAAATGGAGTGTAAAATAATTCATCACCCACATGGCCGTGGAGAATTTTGATGGGGTCTATCGAGACTTAAAAATGAAGACTGGCTAGTTTCTTCCCATATATGGCACCATTTAAATTAAAGATAAAGGGTAGCAGAAGGAGTCAGGTACTTACTGGAGCCGGACAGGGAACTGACCATTTTTCCAGCATCTTTTGCAACGTATCGTATGTACGAATTCTGCTTAAGCTTAATCCCAATAAGCTCTCAAAGCATGGACCCCACCCCGAGCAACAGTTCATCTAGATAGACCAAATAATTATAAAAAGTCATTATAGATTATAGTGTATACTGTATCGATATTTTAAAATGAGCCCCAAATTCAGAATAGATAAAAATCAATATTATGAAAATACCCCCACACACATTTCAATATAGATAAAAGTCAATATTATGAAAATAACCCCCAAACGCATTTCAATATAGATAAAAGTCAATATTATGAAAATAACCCCCACACACATTTCAATATAGATAAAAATCAATATTATGAAAATACCCCCCACAGACATTTCAATATAAATAAAAGTCAATATTATGAAAATAACCCCCACTCATTTCAATATAAATAAAAGTCAATATTATGAAAATAAAGCCCACACACATTTCAATATAGATAAAAGTTAATATTATAAAAATATTCCCGCACACACACACACACACACACACACACACACACACACACACACACACACACACACACACACACACACACACACACTTAAGCATAGATAAAAGTCAATATTTTTCGATTCTGAAAAAATTTCGAGGCTTGAGGTTGGTCTGATGAATGCTAATCTAAGAAAATTCTTTCCTGAAAAAAATCCTCTTTTTCTACGAGTGGACAGGTAGTATTACATAATGCGAAGGCCAGAGCAAGAATGGTCATCGATTGGACGGAGTGCTTCGTAAGTATTCTATTCTGACAATGATCGATTGCCTTTGTCTGGGTTTTAGATATAAATCCGAAACGACGCGAATTCATCAGAGGGTCGCAAGAGTTCCGAAGCGTCGATATGCTTTCCACACAACAGGTCCGAGAGACCACCCGCGAAGGGACGCTGAACCAATGTGCGACATGTATTCATGTAACGTCATTCCTCCCGCTGCTTCTTAGATTCCAAGCTGCCACCATTCTCTCCTAATAAAACGAGTACGAAAAAATCGTCCTTTTCGTTGATAACATTTTATGTTGTAGCGAGTGGATACCTAGACGACACAGAACTCAACAGTATTACCCAGATTTTAAATTATGTACTTGTCAATAATAAATTAATTATCGCATGTCATGTTTTTCTGCTATATATTTTATATATTTTACCGAATAATAATAAAGTTAAACTGTGATCATCGGTTGATTAGTCTTAATTGGATTTTAATCGCCGAAAAGTTTAATGTCGTCAGCAATTTATTGGCTTGTATCATTAAAAAGAGATGTTTAATGCCGTCCACAGTTTATTGGCTTGTATCATTAAAATGAGATGTTTAATGCCGTCAACAGTTTACTGGCTTGTATCATTAAAAAGAGATGTTTAATTCCGTCAACAGTTTATTGGCTTGTATCATTAAAAAGAGATGTTTAATGCCGTCAACAGTTTATTGGCTTGTATCATTAAAAAGAGATGTTTAATGCCGTCAACAGTTTACTGACTTGTATCATTAAAATGAGATGTTTAATGCTGTCAACAGTTTATTGGCTTGTATCATTAAAATGAGATGTTTAATGCTGTCAACAGTTTATTGGCTTGTATCATTAAGAAGAGATGTTTAATGCCGTCAACAGTTTATTGGCTTGTAACATTAAGAGTCAAGTTAAGGCAGTCTGAGGAAGAGATGAAAAACTGTCCGATTTTAAATGTAGTAGGTTTGTTGAACTTTGAAATTAGGGACTATATTAAAACGTGCAATAATACAATACAATTAATCGAAAGTAGAGTGCTCAGGAAATATTTGTGGGATCCACGTAATTATGGCACCAAGAACGGTGTTGGTAGATATTCGATCGTGATGGAAGGGCACTTACCACAGCGGTAGAACCCTAATCAGTTCTTGGCTCGTCTCGAGACAGAAATAGGGGTTCAAACTCAGTGACCACCAGATGAATAATTCAGTCAAGTTAATTAAAATTTTATAAAAATGAATATATTTTTTTTTAAATTTATCATTCACCGAAAATTATTTTTTCTTAAGATACTAGTGTTCATAATATATTTTATACTTAAAAGCTCTTAAGAGCTTTTTTAATTAAAAAATGTCTTAGTTTTAATGCATTTTTTATTTTACGATGCAGAGCAAATTTTCTGTAACTTTGCGCCCTGCTTGACTGTCATATAGGAAGAAAATGAGTAACTACCGACACCGGGGTTCGAGCCTAACATTCTAGACTTATGAATATATGTTTTCCGCCAGGTGTATAAATAGCGCTGTCAGGCTACTGACTGGAGTGATTATTGTGTGATTATTGAATTATCATTGAGTGACTATTGAGTGGAACTATCAAGTAGAATTAGTGTGAATTATTGTGCGTCCATGAGTGGAGTTTTGATTTATAATTTACCGGACGTTAAGACGAACCGCACATCTAACAAGGTATTCACTGAAATGGTTAATTATCTTTGGTTGATTTTTACTTCTTTGTTCTTGTTAAGTATTTATTTTCGGTTGTAATTAAATACTGGTTTATCTTAACATTGACGTCTTGAGTTATATTTAATTATTAACGGCCACTGTACGTCACAAAATCTACAACAAAAATTATTTAAATTTTCCAAAGACTTGTGCATATAACTAACAAATATATATATATATATATATATATATATATATATATATATATATATATATATATATTATGCACTACAAAAATGAATTTATCATAAACTTAATGAATTTCTCATAAACTTAAATAAGTGGGAGGTAACAGATGTAAAAAGATTTTCTAAAAGAAACGTTCTAAAAATAATTTTGTTCGTTTGTGAATGTCATGAAAGTTTCATGAAAATCCGACAAGAATTTCCAAATTAATTTATTTTTCACCGCAAAATTTTCGCATATTAATTTATGGTTACCTGCTGACGCAAGAAAAATATTAGCTTAAAGTTTGAAGGTTCTAAAATTGATTAAAAAATATAATTTGATAATCAAAAAATCCTTTAGCCTTTCCTTTTAATAATAGCATAAAGATTATACCAATCAAACTTTATTTTTGTTAATTTAGGGCCTTTTTTTATCATGTATGCTCATTTTTAGCGAATCTGAAGGTCTCTCTGTCTCTCTCTCTCTCTCTCTCTCTCTCTCTCTCTATACATATATATATATATATATATATATATATATATATATATATATACATATATATATATATACTTATATATATATTAATATATATATATATATATATATATATATATATATATATATATATATATATATATATATGACTGCCATAAAAAGACAAAATTATTTTTATTACCACTCATGACGATAAAGAAGAAAAAACTGAAAAACGGGCTAGCTAACCGGTTTCGAAGCTAGCTGAACAGAGCTAAATCGAAGTTAATAAATTAAACAGAATTATCATTAAAAAAGATGGACAATATGTATTGATAAAGAAAACTATATTGCTTAAATGGAAATTAGTTGGATGCCCAGTACGAATTGCTTCTGTTTACACAGAGAGGTCTTCAACGATAACTATAAATGGCCTGCAACATTTTCAAGCGGTAATTCGAGTGGGACTTGCTAAGAATGGTAAATGAGTCCACAGTGAAACTAGTAGCACAATTATGGCTATTTATTAGGTGTTCTGCGATGGAAGACCCGTATGCATTGGTCAGAATGTCTGAAGAAGTCTACTTAAGATTGCGGATTTTCACAAAAATATACACACAAAGAATTAATGGATTTATTTTTAATGCGACATTCTTGTTACTTCAAACGTTATTATACTGGATACTCGTATTTGAAATAGACGTCCCATTATTATTGATTTTTAAACAGTGTCTGATACGTCTGTCGACGTGCGCATTCAAGAAACTTTAATAAAGAAAATGTGCTCTCCGACAGGGATCGAATCTGCGTCTCACTTGTAGAATAAACCACCGTTTGATCCGGCATGTTTTACCGCTCTGATAACGAGAGCGTCACGGATATGCAAGTTACTTTGAGGTAAGAAAAATGTCGGATTAAAAATAAATCTAGTAATTCTTTAGAAATTGCTTTGTTTAAATTTCGAAATACGAAACTGAGCAGACAGACTTTTCGAGGAAAATATCTGAATGAAAACGTGTGCTTGCCTTAAAAAGGATTTTTAAAAAAAATTATAACAATGGGTTACTGAGAAAAAATTATTAAAAAGGGAGGACAATAAAAGAACAGGGATTAAGGCAACGGAAGATGACAGTTGCCATTGTATTTAAATTTTTGAAGATCAAAATTTACTGAAGAGCAAGGAGCTCGAAGATAGTTTCACACGCGAGTAGTGCGAAAGGAAAGCCTGTTCCCAGACTGCATGAATTTAAACGTGCTACTAGGTTGGAATCTCAGTCCCACACTTTCAATGTCGAAACGGTTAAATGTAGCCGTCTCTTCTACAATAGCTTCATGTCTCGCACTTCCCGTCTGTGGAACTCCCTTCCTCTTACTTGCTTCCCTGGTAGCTATAATTTTCAATTATTCAAATGCGATATCAATCGACATCTTCAGATGACTTGATCTAATTCCTCGCCCTTCTCTTCATTCTTTCCTCTATCACGCATCTTTTCTCTTGCTCCAACTCTCTGTAACTCCTTGCGTGCTCGTGGCACTTTCGCTTTGCTTGGGGTGAAATCTTAAAAAAGACATTCAATATTTGTTTTTCGCTATGTATTTTTTCTTTCTTTCTTTCTTTTTTTTTCTTTCTTTCTTTCTTTCTTTCTTTCTTTTCGATAACATCCAAAGACAGATATGCAATGTGATGTCCTGACCTGGCATCTCGTCTACAGCCACTTTCTCTGAGACGTTTTGTGCCTTCCCTCTGTCTTTTCTACAAATATTTTCATTTTTTGACGAGCTACTTTCACTAGTACCCCAACTGCATGAATTTAAGCGTGCTATTGGATTGGCATCACGGTCCCACCCTTTCACTGTCGAAACAGTTAAATCTAGCCGTCTTTTCTACTCCAATAGCTTCATATCTCGCACTTCCCGTCTGTGGAACTCCCTTCCTCTTACTTGCTTCCCTGATAGCTATAATCTTCAATTATTCAAATGCGATATCAATATCTTCAGATGACTTAATCTAATTCCCTGTCTTTCTCTTCATTTTTTCTTCTATCACACCTTTTTGCTCTTGCTCCAACTCTCTGTAACCCCTTGCGTGCTAGTAGAACTGCCGCCTTTCTTGGGGTGAAATATTTTAAAAAATTGAACTTACGGTTGCATCTAGCAATTTCAACTGTGTACATATGTAGTTTTCGTGTGATGCTTCAAGTTTTATACCACCCGGCTTTTTATTACAAGTTATGGTTGCAGATTTCTTTTATTATTTAAGCAGTATAAATTTATTGAATTTACACTCGAGAAATTTGAATGATGAGGTCATGAGTTTAACTGTTTGTTGTGCATTAGAAATAGATTGCCAGATACGTACACGCACGAGCGTTTACGTACACGGACGACACAAGCAAGGACACGGACGCACAGACCCTTGCTCGTATATAAACAGAAATATTTCGGGTTCGAATGATGTCTGTTGCTACCCGCGCAAAATATAAAAGAAACAATGTCAAATCCGACTCCTGTTCGGCGAAAGGACATTTGAGGATGTCACCTTGCTTCTGTCTCAAGTTATTCAAGCATTACCCTTGTCATCTTCTTCGTTGAATCCACCCCTACAATATCTACGCCGCACCCCACGTCGACCGAACTCGTCCGACGTTGCCTTAAAGCGTCCTTACTGTAAATCCCACCCTCTACCCCCGGCCATTCTGTGATCGACGTCTTCGCTTTCGTCCTCTTTTATCAGTCGTCTTCCGCAACATCCAGGTCTTCATCACTTCTGAATACCGTCTATCCACAAGTTGTCAGGAGCAAATGTACATTCGGCATCGGTCGGCGCCCGCCCGCACATTGTAATATCTGACGGAGGTGCGACAGCGTGGCGGCTCTTGTCGTCACCAGATGGCGCTCGCATCGCTAGTCCGATGAACTTTACACCCTTCCCGCTAACAAATTTCTTTCTTCTTCATCCTCGTCTTCTGCCATGTATTTCTTCTATTCAAACATTCTTTCTTTTTTTCTTTTTTTTTTTTGTCGTTTTTTTACTTTTTTTCGCTTTTTCTTTTTTCCGATTTTTCGTTTTTTTCTTTTGTCTTCTTTTTTCGTTTTTTTTTTCTTTTTATTTCGCTATCATTTTTTTTCTTTCGGTGTTACGTTCCCCGTTTTCACTTTTAGATTTCCCTTCTTCTCTTCGAATCTTGAATATCACTTCAGTTTCTTTTCTTTGCGATACATACAGATTGCTTAAAAGCCAAATTTACATGGCTTCTAAAATTATAAAATTTCTTCGTCATTATTGACCTCGTCATCGATCTGTTAGTTTTTTTACCTCTGTCATTTAGTCCCTATCTCTTTTCTAGCTATTCGTTCTCTCTCTCTCTCTTTGTAACACACACACACACACACACACACACACACACATACATATATACATACACATATACACATATATATATATATATATATATGATCGTCTTAGCATCTCTATTTCTAGTGAATTCGTTTTTCCAACTTCGTTTGTTTTAAAAATCATATATGTATACACACACACACATACATATATATATATATATATATATATATATATATATATATATATATATATATATATATATATATATATAAATTGTAATTATATCTATCCGACCATATCGAAGTAATTTCTTAACTGTCGACCTATTTACATATATGTCTCAGACATTGTTCATATATATCACCAATCTATCTATCTATCTGTTTTGTCTGTCGGTCTCTTTATTTCTATATATAAAGTCTCTTTATATATATATATATATATATATATATATATATATATATGTCCAATAATGTTTAGTAGGGATAATTCCAAAGAGAGCAATATTATAATAATAATGAATAAGGCTTTATTTCCAGGACTTGACTAGAAAACATGGTGGGTGAAGTTAAATCGAAAAGTCTAATCATTTCAAGCAATGACATCTCCACTTTGTATCATAACCGTTACAATTACAAATTAATAATAATAATAATAATAATAATAATAATAATAATAATAATAATAATAATAATAATAAAAGTACAGCACACACACTAAGGAGAACTTTGTCTATGTAACGCTAGCAACTTCATCGGAGATAAAAAAAAAAAAAAAAAAAAAAATTAACATGAAATGTGGCCATAACAACACACCACGACTTGCCTTAGGTCTTTCCGCAGACTTGGTAGGTAGTGTGTCCATAGCAGAAATCGAATGATGATGATGATAATAATAATAATAATAATAATGACAATAATAATAATAATGATGATAATAATAATAATAATAATAATAAAATATAAAAATCATTCAAATAAAAATATTTGACATCAATATAATGAAACAACATAAATTTAAAAATTTAAAGTAATTTAAACAAAAAAAATTTCTTTTTAATTTTTTTTTTTTTAAAGTCATTTTCATTTAAAATCCCAGAAATATAACCTGTTCTTGATCAGTCTGTCTACAATCTCACACTCTCTCCCCACCTCCCTATATCTATCTCCCTTTCTCTTTTCCCCCAATAAAACTTACAATGAAATCTGTCTTCCTCGCCCTTTTTTCTTTTCTTTCTTTCTTTTTTTCTTCCTTTTAATAAAAAAAACTTATTCCTATCTCACTTTTTGCTTCTTCTTCCTTTTTCTTTTCTGTCTCTTCTTCTTTTCCTTTTTCCCTTTCTTTATATCTGGACGAATTAAACTCTATTTCTCAATGTATTTTTGATCTGCATATGTACGTTTATTCCTTTCTACGTTTGTATGTATCTATCTATCAGGTTTCTATCTATCTATCTATCTATCTATCTATCTATCTATCTATCTATATATATATATATATATATATATATATATGTCTACTTTTCTGTATATATAAAAATGAAATAAATTATTACCACGATGGATTTTAGGATTCCTTATTCATTTATATATATATATATATATATATATATATATATATATATATATATATATATATATAATGTATAAGTGCGCAGGTAAGCAGAAAATAGAAAAGAACACGTTGGGTGCATAATCCGGGGTTCCTTAGTATTTTTGTTTTTATTTTTAAGAAGACAGTGCTCCATACAGAAGTAGAGCTTTATTATAATAATATTTTTTGTTTAAAAATATGATTCCAAATAATTATTAAAATTAAAATTAAGTTGAATTGTGGTGTTTAGTCCCGTGATTCCTAAAACACCTCAATTCAACTTAATTTTAATTTTAATAATTATTTGGATGGTTTCGACTCTCGTTTTTGAAACATGAGAAATCATATGTAGCGAAGGAATCATATTTTTAATCAAAAAAATATTATTATTATTATATATATATATATATATATATATATATATATATATATATATACTGACACCAAATCGGTTGGGTTTCGATCCTGGCTTGGGGCAATCGGATGTCTAGTCACACCGAGGAAGTGTGATACAGCGAAACACTACCGTCTATGAATGACATAATTTAGGTCTTGAAAAAATATATTTCAAATGAGCACTGTCGAATGACAAACTAATTTTACAAACAACACCCATCTGCGTTAATGCAAAGCTCTTCAGAAAAATGAATGGAGCACTCCGGGTAATTGACATTTGTTTACATTCGTAAAAACAATACGATAGATTTAGCTTCCTCATTCTGTCGATAGCTGAATGGTAGAAACTGTGACACAAAAACAGCACTGTCTGCGAATGACATATATATATATATATATATATATATATATATATATATATAACTATCAATCTGTTTATCTATCTATATATATATATATATTTCTTTTTTCTCTCTCTTTATCTATCTATCTATCTATCTATATATATATATATATATATATATATTTGCTTTTTCTGTATACATAAGTTTATTTCTTTCTACGTGTGCATATATGTGTGTATCTATCCTTCTATCCACCTTTCTACTCATCTATCTAACTATCTATCTATCTATCTATCTATCTATCTATATATATATATATATATATATATATATATATATATATATATATATAACTATCAATCTGTTTATCTATCTATATATGTATTTTTCTCGCTCTCTTTATCTATATATATATATATATATATATATATATATATATATATATATATATGAATGTATGTCTACTTTCCTGTATATATACGTTTATTCCTTTCTACGTGTGCATGTATATGTGTATCTATTTATCCATCCACCTTTCTATCTATCTATCTATCTATCTATCTATCTATCTATATATATATATATATATATGTCTGACGATCTGTTTATCTTTATATACACGACCATTCCTTTGCGGTGATGGTTGAAACTACCTCTATCGCAGTGTATTCTATATTCAATTTCCTTCAGAATAACTGTAGGATCAGGAATCTTTAAAAATCAATATTTAATTTAGACGACTTCCTCTTTTGCCGTGTGGTTTAGATCCCGACTTTTTAATTTGAGGCGTCGTGCCTGTAGCTCCCTATCTATCTATCTATCTATCTATCTATACTAGTTTGTTCATTATCTATCTTAGTGTGTTCATTATCTATCCATCTCAGTCTGTCCATATCTATCTATCTATCTATATCTATCTATCTATCTATCTATCTATCTATCTATCTCAGTCTGTCCATATCTATCTATCTATCTATCTATCTATCTATCTATCTATCTATCTAAATGCGTCTGTGTGCGCGCGCGTTCGACTAAGTTTATGTGTACATCATTCCTTCTTTCTTTAGAGATCAAGCCGCTTACTTATTTTAAGTAATTTTCAGACCAGATTGATCGAAGTCGGAGGAAAGTTTTTCCTTTGGTTTTCCACTGAAAAGGGACCATCTCTATAGAAAAAACCGGATTTAAAAGGAATCTTCGTTTTTTTACTTGTTTACGAAACCAGCGTTTGACACTGCGAATATACAAGCAATAAGCTTAGCTATTTTACAGTTGAAGCATCTTCCTTAATCGTACTGCTAACCGAGGAGTGAATTCAGGCACGATGTCACAAAATAAAATGTCGGGATTTAAAGCAGATGGTAAAAATGAATGGCTTCTAAATTAAATATTGCTTTTCAAAGGTTGCTGATTCTACATTTTTTTCTTCATGAAACTGGACATAGAATAGGCTGCATTTGAGGTAGTTTCGCTCAACACCGCCAGTTGCTACTAAACCAAAACATCAATCTGAAAAATTGAGTCATGTTCTTAAATAGCCCCATCAGATCATTATTTTCCTATGGATGTCATGCATAGCACCAAATCCATTCAGAAATATCTAAATTGTCAGATGTATAAAACCGCTTTCTTAAATCGATACTTAAATCGATACTTACAAAATGGCTTTGAGCGAGTGAAGCCTGTGGGTCTTGGGGAAGACAATCCTTCTTCGAAACTTGCAGACTGGCGCTACAGAATCACAAACAAAGAACGGTAACAAATAACAGAAACGACATTGTCGATGACTATCAACAACAGTGATAAGTAAAATGGATAGCATATGGAATTCGAAAAGAAAATAATGACATAATCAAGATGCGAACATTCCACACTACTTGAAACAAAAAAATTAGAAAGGAAACGCCGGTCGATACTATAAAGATCAATAACAGCTACTGGACTTGAGAAGTCTATTTTCCTGAAATATTGTTTTAAGAGAAACATTTCATAAATTTCAACCGATAATAGAACTGGCTGCTCCGTCAAAAGTTTCCTTGTAGGGAAACGGCTATTACTATGATCATTACCATATAAGGAAATGGTTAATATTGCCATTATCATATAAGAAAATGGTTAATATTATCATTACCATATAAGGAAATGGTTAATGTTACCGTTACCAGTGTCAAAGATTTTTTTATGTTTTAATTAAGAGAAAGATTTTATAAATTTCAATTTATTTAATTATAAATTTTAACCGATAATAGTACTGGCTGCTCCGTCAAATGTTTCCTTGTAGGGAAATAGCTATTACTATGACCATTACCATATAAGGAAATGCTCAATGTTACCATTACCAAAAATTTTTGTTTTAATTTTAGTCAATTTCGCTTTATTTTTGGCATTTATTTTTTTCATTCTTTTGTTGTTCGTTTGTGCGTATTTTATGGAATTAAACCTATTTTTGCATGTAAGATTTGCATAAAAGTTTCAGACGCTAACGTTTTAAAAAATGTTTTATCACATACGAGGGCTGGCTGAAAGGAAACCAGCGAGATCTGCCTCAAACAATGTCAGCATTGCCCTTGATGTTATCAGTGTGCCTTTGATCAGGTGTCAGAAAATGTGACACCCACTGAGCAGAAACCTTCGTCATGCCAAGTTCATTGTGCAGAATATTCGCAACTCTCTCCCGGGATAAGCTAACAGCATCGGCTATTTTAGTTATAGTTAATCGCCTCTCGTTCCATCACGATGTGGTGGCAACGATCATTGTTTTCCCCGGTGGTGGCAGTTGCAGGTCGTCCAGATCCTGGGTAATCTTCAAGATTCTCTCTTCCACTTCTTATTTCAGCTGCCCACTTTTTGCACTATTTCTAAAGGTGGAGCGTCATTCCCTAATGTAGCAACCATATCAGCATGTATTTCCTTGTGGGAGAGGAACTAAATCCTTTTTTTTCTGCAGGTACCTGATAACACCACGATGCTAAGTTTTATTTCCTATTTCAAGAGAAATCACAACTAGTTACTTTTGAAGTCTTTTTTAAACAGTTAAATATCAGTTTACCTGGAAATAAACAATGCAGTTATTAATAAAAAGGGCTGAAATTAGTGTATGCCAGATTTCACATTTCAAGCATCACTCATTCATAGTCAGCCTATGGACATTTCAGCCCACCCCCGTACATTGGGTTGGGGAAAATTTTATCGAGTTCAGCTGCAGCACATCGTTTATCTAGTTTATGGAAATTCAGAAGCAAGGAAAATGGTTTCCACATTAACTGACGGAAACAATGAATAACTCTTGCTACGTCGTATATCTTTGTCCCTTTCAAAATGATCGTAGGATTCTTTTTACAGATAGTTTTGTTTATTTAATTATTCCAAATTATCTTTCTCTATTCCTGTTTCTATTTCCTCTTTCGCTCTCTGAAATAATGCATTTGCTAATAAGAAGAGTTGCAATTAATGCATGCCAGATTTCACAGCAGCTCAAGCATCACTCCTTTATAGTCAGCCTGTGAACCTTTCAGAGCACTCTCGTAGTATAAAAAATATATAACTGTTGAAACTTGAATAAAGCATGGAATAATAATAATGCAACACAAAATGTACTTAAACAAAATGTATTGACACAAGAACGTGTACACAATATTTACAGATAGTTTGGTATATTCTTGGGAAGACCGTTCCTGTAGAATGGGTTGACTTAGTCGCAGTCGGGCAGAGTCTCTGGATTGGATCTCTTCTTCCTCCCCCCGTCTTCCCGGTACCAACCATATTTATAGGGTCGGTACTCCACTATGTAAATTAGGTGAATCGTACCACAACAATAACACATAAAACCGTTTTTTTGTTTTTGTAAAATAATGCAAGGAAATCTTACCACAAAACTGTCTGTCACCCCTGTCTCTTAAAATCTCTCCAAGTCTTAAAATCTCTCCAAGATTCTATCCTTCTTCTTTCGCCTCTATTTATGTACGGTTCCTACCAGTCAGCCTCGGAACTTTTCAGCCCACCATTCTGTTTTGTACTCAGTTCCAACAAATGTTGGGGTGCTGAAGCCCCCCCCCCCCCCATTCCAAGCACTGCCTATAGGGCTGCGGATGAATACTGATTTATTTCCATCTCGATAAAAGGATCAAAACGTTTCAGTTGACTGAACGGAAAAAAAAATCAAATTCGTTTTATGAAATCTGGAAAAGGAATGGCAGTGATGCAATAAAACTGATGAGAGTTTCACAATCGAGAAGTGCGAGAAGAGAAACTATAAGAATAGAACTTATGGTTACACCTAGCTATTTCAACAGTAAAACAGGGAGACCTAGTTGCCAATCTAGTAGGACGCTTAAAGTCATGCATCCAGGTACTGTTATATACCGTACCTATGTACACTAATGGGTATATCCGAATCTTCATGAATACGTTTGACACTATTGTAAGTGGAGGTAATATGCTGTCTAAGTAGCCCACCATAGCAGTGGTTTACCTACTTCACGCCGCTGGCGAGTATTGTATTTTGTTAGTGTTATAAAGATTACCATTGCATTTCCAACCTCCGGTTTGGTTATTCCTCATTCAGTAACCTTTTCTAGGTTACAACAAAATCTAGCTAGCTAGCTAGATAGTTAGCTATCTATCTGTTATATACCGTACCTATGAACACTAATGGTTATACCCCAATCCTCCTAAATACATTGGACACTGTTGTAAGTAGAGGTAATATGCTGTCTAAGTAGTCCACCACTAGCAGTGGTTTACCTACTTCACGCTGCTGGCGAGTATTGTATTTTGTTGGTTACCATTTCATTTACAACCGCCGTTTTGTTTATTATTCATTCAGTAACCGTTTCTCGGTTACAACACTATCTATCTATCTATCTATCTATCTATCTATCTATCTATTATATACCGTACCTATGGACACTAATGGTTATGCCTCAATCCTCCTAAATACATTGGACATTATTGTAAGTGGAGATAATATGCTGTCTAAGTAGTCCAACACTAGCAGTGGTTTACCTATTTTTGTTGATGTTATAAAGATTACCATTCCATTTCCAACCTCCGTTTTGGTTATTCCTCATTCAGTAACCCTTTCTAGGTTACAATAGGCACCAAGGATGAGAGATCATTAGAACAATTGCAACTGCAGCCAGAATTTGAACTCTGGATGTCGATGTCACTTTCCCAGCAGATATTCACTAAGTTACGCACAAAGGCGCTGTCCTGTCAAAAAAAAAAATTCTTTTTACAAACTTGGTGATCTGTAACTCGAAATCGAATTTTGAAATATAGTGAAATGGATATAGAGGCAAAAAATGTTCAAGAGTCATTGTTCTAATCGTTCAAGTGAAGATTTATGACCAGTGAAAAGTTAAAGAACCAGCGCATATGCTAGGCCACAAAAATCTCCTAAGTCGGCCAAGCATAGACATGAATACAATATGGGAACCAGTAATATAGAGAAAACGAAAATAAAAAATTATAATATGAGCTCTGGTAAAAAACTTGATACTGAGAAATTAGGTTTATACTTCCCAAAAATTCATTCACTGGTGTCCACAAGTAATCCAGTGACTTGACTCAAAAAGTTGTGAGTTCAATACAGTTCAACAGAGGTGAGCAAAAACTTAGAGAGTTGACTTACTAAAAAGAATTAACTAAAACTGAGATAGCCAGAAAAGGCATGGCACGTGGAACTAGAACGACCTACCTAGTGGGTTAAATGCAGGGTTCAGTTTAAAGAAGAAAGCCGGAGCGTAAAGATGAGGACAACAGTCTGAACAATATAAATAGTTACAATATTTACAATGCCTCATTACAGAAATATAGACGGATCCCGAATAATGCCAGAGCGTCAACGGCAGAAACGTTGTGAATATGACAATAAAGATGAGGACAACAGTTTGAACAATGTAAATAGTGTAAATAGTTACAATGCTTCATCACAGAAATATAGACAGACATTCCTGTCTCTTGTTGATATATGTAGCACCTGCTCCTTTCATATTTTGTCTTTGGAAACATTGTAATGTCATCCATTAACGCAGACCAATCAAGTAGGTCACTTGTTGATCCTTCACCTGAAGAAGGCCGGAGCGTACAACGGTCGAAACGTCGTGAATATAACAATAAAGATGAAGACAACAGTGTAAATAGTACTTTAGTTAGCATTAGTTTTCTAACATTTGATTCGGCCATATTTTTCGAATGTTGTAGTCACGAAAATATACCATAAAAATTTATTTACTTTTAAAAGCAGGAAAAAAAGATGAGACCTAGCAGCCAATCTAGTAGAACGCGTGAATCCATGCGGTCGAGTTACTAAGGAGGAGAGCAATATTTATCTTAAATAATATAAAAATGTAGCACAAGGCCTAAAGAGGGGGAATAGGGGAAAGCTGGTCTTCAATCTGTCTTATCTTAAACATAGCTAACCACATTTACTGACACAAACATACACACATTCTTAATTACCATTCTTACTACAGACACCATAATACCTCAGAGTCTCTATGTAGTCCTAACTAGTTCCCATATGTACAATTTGTCATACACTCACATTTTGAGAATTATAGATATAGATAAATCTGAATAGAAATCTTTTATTCATAAATTTATTTTAAAAAAATTACAAAATTAGCAAAATATGACCGATAAAATTACACACCATTCTTTGGATTTTGTCGAGAATCTCGGCTTATGTAACAATAACATCGCAACAGATATGGCAGTAATATGCAATTCAGGGACGAATGGTACCAGTAACAAGACGCTTTGTCTAGACATCTGATACATGATTACAATGCATTTCCAAATGCCATGAGTATTTTAGTGAATTAATGTGGCATGAGCAAATGAAAGGAATGTCCGAAAAATTCATTTTTTTTCAAAATTTATAATTACTGTTACTCGTTATTGTGTTTATTCACATTTTCTTGTTCAGCCATTTTTATAATTTTATGAATAAACAAAATTATTTTCATATTTATTTCTTTATAAAATGATAAATAATATTTCATTATAATTGGCTCACGTATTTTTATAATCTTGCAAATATACAGCCATTCTTGTAAATAAGCAATCAAATGAATAAATAGATTTTAATGTCTTTGCTGTAAATTCTCAAGAATAAAGAAAATTTTCATATTTATGGGTTTGCATCATCATCGTCGTCATCCCCTTGTCTTTTGCAATCGTAGAGGGGGTGGGGCGAATGCAGAAACCAAATTGGATCTCCTCCGTAACGGTCTATCAACAGCAGCCATCAGCAATTCTGGTGTAGTCATACTTGTCCATTGTTAGGGATTGTCCAAACAGTTTTTGCGTTGGCGTCCTCTTCTACGTCCACCTTGCATGATGGCCTTGCACAGGCTGTCGTTCCTTGTAAACGTGTCCAAACCACTCCATTTTTCTCTGTTTGACAATGGCCAGAAGAGGTTCTTGGTGGCCCACAAAACTTTCAACCATTTTCTTTTACAAACTCATTGGTTTATACGCCCCCAAAATTCATTCACTGGTGTCCACAAGTAATCCAGTGACTTGACTCAAAAAGTTGCAAGTTCAACACAGTTCAGCAGAAGTGAACAAAAACTTAGAGAGTTGACTTCCCAATAGAAGGTGTCAAGGATTTTTTTCTTTCTCTCTGTTTCTACCGGCGATTTGTAGAGTCTATATTTCGTTTGAAAGCTGATTTTGCTCCTCCATATTCTTGCTAATTTGGCCGTATCGGTTTATTAAAATTCTAATCATTCTTTGTTTTTTAAACAGTAAATATTGCCGAGGGAGTCAAAAGCATTAATAGCGGTGTCAGAGCAAAAACGGTCCTTTTGATGCACCGGTTGCCATCAAGCTATCTTGTCACACTATTGCTGTTATGGCTGCAGCAAATTTGGCGTCTCTACGTCCCTAATGTATTACCGGGCGAGACACGCAGAAAATATTCGAAATTAACGACTTGTTCAGACAAGTCTCTTACTCAACTATATCACGCCATTCTGATGGATGGACCTGTTCATCACGGATTACTTCCAGTTTCTCTCTGGCTAATGTCAGCCACCACAAACACGTCAACCTGGTGCAATGGTTTTCGATTGTCGAGTTAACCGTAAACAAAATCTTGCTCTTAAGTTTTGCCATAGGAAATTATCATTAATATACACTGATTTATTCAAATTCCTGTCCCATACACTTGGTCTTTGTTGAGGTGTTCGTGTGGCTTAATGATAGCCACTTTAATTTTATTTAGTAACTCATTAGAATTCTTTTTCCTTTTCTTTTCGTTTACCTCTTTTCATTTTTGTTCTGTTTTACTGTTTCTTTCTGCTTCTCTTTTCTTTCTTTTCTTTACTTTTTTTCTTTTCCGTGACCAAATCGGTGAAAGCGTCGTCCATGTCAAACGCATTCCTAGTACAGAATTCAGACCGTTTAAACCACTTAAATATTACTGCATTCTAGAGAAAACTTTTATGGATTTAGACCCCACCGCCAATCTTATGTTTTTGTTTAATTTTTTTTATTTTTTTTATTGTAGTTTTGTCCTTGGGGTATGGATTTTCCAAACGCGCTATTGACGACTTCTCTTTTATTCCAACATGCTTTATTATTTAAGCAGTCACTTCACGGGTCTAGCACGTACGGTTTGAGAAAGAGGGATACTGCATGGACCACCCATTCGCTATCGTCTGAATTTAAAAAGCAAAAAGAAAAGAAAAGAAGGGAAAAAAAGGTAATAATATAAGAATTCATAAAAATGATTCTTGAGTTAATGTTTCTTTTGTCCAGTGCATTACCTCACTGTCTCTTGTTTGGTTGAATACCGACACCCAATGTCTTTTCTATGCGTTTTTTTCATTCTGTATTTTCTTTTCTTTTTCTCGTTGTTTTTTTTTCCTTTTATTCATTCTTCTACTCAGCATTACCACATTTTTTTTCTTTCTTTTTTTAATTCATTTTTACAGTTTTTTCTTTCTTTCTTCTTTCGAGGAGTCTTTCTTTTTTCTTTCTTTCTTTCTTTGATTCAAAATATTTTTCGGTTTCTGTCTTTCTTTACTTGTCGTTTTAGTTTTCGATCTTATTCATTTTTGTTTCTCTCTCTTTCTCTCTCTTTCTCTCTCTTTCTTTCTTTCTTTATTCATTTATTTATTTAAATAAGGTGATTACCTTTACTGTTTTTTTTCTAGCTGGGAGCATTCTTTCTGCATTATCTTTTTTCTTTCTTGTATTCTTTGCTTCAAAATATTTTTTAATTTCTTTCTTTCCCTCTTTCTTTCCCTCCTTCTTTACTTGCTTCTTTCCTTCTTGCTTACTTTTTCTTTCTTTCTATCTTTCTTTCTTTCTTTTTTCTTTCTTTCTTTTTTTGATTCAAAATATTTTTCGGTTTCTGTCTTTCTTTACTTGTTTTAGTTTTTGATCTTATTTATTTTTGCTTCTCTCTCTTTCTCTTTCTTTCTTTCTTTCTTTATTTAAATAAAGTGATTACCTTTACTGATTTTTTTTCTAGTTAGGAGCATTGTTTCTGCATTATCGTCTTTCTTCTTGCATTCTTTACTTCAAGATATTTTTTAATTTCTTTCTTTCTCTCCTTCTTTCCCTCCTTCCTTCCTTGTTTCTTTCCTTATTGTTTACTTTTTCTTTCTATCTTTCTTTTTTTTTCTTTCTTTCTGTGTAGCCTCTTTTCTTTCTTTTTTGTATTTATTTTAATTTCATACTTTTTCTCTTTTTATTTCCTTTCTTCTTTTCTTTCTTCCTTTATTTCTTTTTTTTCTTTCTTTCTTACAAATTTATCTCTTTTATTCCCTATATTTCTATTTTTCCTTCATTCTTTGTTTCCATCTCTTCGTTTATTTAATTATTTTTATCTTATATTTCCTTCTTTTGCTTTCTTTCTTTCTTTCTTTCTTTCTTTCTCATTTCCTTTTTTCCTTCCTTACTTTTTCCTTCCTTTCTTTCTCCTTTTTATTTTCCGTTTGCCTCTTTTCATTCATTCTGTTTACCACTTTTGTTTTTTTTCATTTTCCTTTTCTTCTTTCTTTCTTTCCTTCTTTCTTTCCTTCTTTCTTTCTTTCTAATAATTTTCTTTCCTTTATTCTCACACCCTTTCTTTTTTAAAATTAACTTTTTACCTATGTTATACACTTTAGAATACCGACTGTGTTTTTCCCTACTCCCTTCCTAAATTGGTCTCCTCACAAAAGGGGTTCCTTAATCTTAAAAATTGGAAAACCTTGAAACAAATATCACTTCTATGCAAATCTTTATTTTAACACCAGTTAGTTTTCTCTTCTCTAATACCTCCCCGCCCTTTAACAAATTCTCTCTGCGGCGGGGGGGGTATTTTTCTCACTATTCGGTTGTTCTATTGCTACGTCAACTTTAAAAACAAAGGCTTCCCAAGACATTAAAAAAAAAATGCTTCTTGTGTGCAACTCGATCAACCATGACTTATCACCAAGTGTAATTTTTGCTTCTGTAAGCAACCCTCACAAAATTCTCTAGCCACTGGCTATGCACACAATTATCTAACTTGTCTATTAGCGTAAGGTTCGTCATGTATTTATATTGCAACAGGTTTCTTTCTTTCTTCCTTTCTCTTTTTTCACCATTTGATTTATATTTGGCTTCAGTTACTCTCCCTTCCTTTTCTCCTTTTTTAACGTCTTTCTTTCTTTTTCGTATTTTTTTTACTTTTTCTTACTTCTTTTTTCTTTCTTTCTTTCTTTCTTTCTTTCTTTCTTTCTTTCTTTTCTCATGTTCTGATTGCGACTTAGTTTCAGTTAATCTTCCTTTATTTTCCCCTTTTGTTAACATCAGAAATTCCCTTTTCTTTCTTTCTTTCTTTCTTTTTTTCTTTCTTTCTTTTTTCTTTCTTTCTTTCTTTCTTTCTTTCTTTCTTTCTTTCTTCTCAGATTGTGATTGCAATTTAGATTCAATTAATCTTCCTTTTCCCCCCTTTTGTTAACATCAGTCTTTCTTTTTCTTTCTTTCTGTCTATTTTCTTTCGTTACTTTTCTTTCTGTCTTCCTTCTCTCCTCCCTTCCTTCTTAGATTGTGATTGCAATTTGAATTCAATTAATTTCCTTTTCTTTTCCCCTTATTTTAGCTTTTGTTTATATTTTTATTTATTTATTCATTTTCTCATTCTAATTATTAGCTTCCATTAATGTTTCCTTCTCTTCACATTCTAATTCATTCTTCCATTAATCTCCCATATTATTTATTTGCCCCAAGCACACATTCTTTCTTTCTTTATTTATTTATTTTCTTTCTTTCTTTCTTTCTTTCTTTCTTTCTTTCTTTCTTTCTTTCTTTCTTTCTTTCTCAGATGTCAAGTCGCCTATCTCTGTCATTCTATTTTCGGTAGACATTTAGTTTTCGACTGAAAATCCATCAATAAAAATGGTCTTATACTGCCATTCATATCACAAGAAAACAATTCAAACTCGGTATAATTACAGATTTCCACTTAAAGGCACTTAAAATTTGCAACTCTCAGTATTTACACTAATAAGAAAGAGATAATGAAAATCCTTATATAATGCTTCAATCTCCTTATTATTTCATATCGAGCGAGAAAAGGAAAGCTTACACCTACCAAAAATAAAACACTAAAAAGAAAATAAAACAAATAACATTGACGAAACGAAGCAGCCATAATAGCACTGACCAATTCAATAGTGACTACAATGAAAAGAATTTATCTAAATTTAATATATTATTTGTTATAAGTACTTTCAAAATGATAGTAGAGTAAATCAGCATAAAACAATAAACACACTAAACCTGAAACGGGAATTTATTTAAAAAAAAAGAAAAGAAGAAATATACTAATAAATACAAAGTGCGCTTAAAATAAAGGGGTTACTTACAAAACACTCAATGTATTTGTTGTTCATCGTAATAAGTTTGACGACAATTGCGACAATTGTGACGAAGAACATTACTTCGGAACACCCTGCAGTTAATTTATGCCCACGATCATACAAAATACCACCTTCCCTCAAAAAATGACTAATAAAATGTGGGATAATTAAAAGCAATAGCGATAAAAATTAAAAAAAAGGATGAAAAACTGAATTAGGTAGGGATCCACATACATTAAAATATGAACCAGTTTCTTTAATGTTTCGATATAAAATGTCATCCGAAGTTTGTTGAACATCACCCCGACACCTTTATAATTTCAAAATGTAGAATTCTCAGCGTCTGTAGCATGTGTTGTCGCTTCAACGTAAACAAACTTAGTCCAATGATGTGTTAAGGAACGAAACGCGTCGCTCGAAAACTTTTTCCACTTTGTCATACATCTTTCACTTTTATTATCCAAATACTTTACATCTCTTTCATCATCAGAGGTGCAAATTGGTAAAGCAAAAACTATGTGTAGCTATCTATTACTGAATTTTTATTTTGCGTTTCAGTGCTGTGGCTGGCAGTTATGCTTTAGCGTTAATTAAAACCTAGCATACAAAAATTTTAAGAAAATTTCATAATGGATAACTATTCACGTTTTAATGAACGCTAAAGCATAACTGTCAGCCATAGTATTGAAACACAAAAGAAAAATTCAGTAATGGATAGTTATACATAGTTTTGCCTTCCCAACTGCACTCCTGGTGATGATCTCAGAAAGAGATCGAAAAAACTTGGGTAAAAAAAAAGTAATTCTCACTGTTACATAGCATTTCTTGCCTCATTTAATTTTGATATACGGAAAAATATTTGTGATTATCAAAGGATTATGATCAAAGTAAGCAGACAAAATGTTTGTAACTTATTCAATCAGAAATGCCTGAAAGAGAATTTGCTGCCTAAATACACGAATATATATATATATATATATATATATATATATATATATATATTGGGTTATTACACAGGAAACATTTCAAAAACGCTACACAATTGCAGTCGTGTTTCGATGCGTATCAATGCATCTCATCAGGCGATTATAAACATTGTTCATCTTACCTGTATATCTATCTATCTATCTATCTATCTATATATATATATATATATATATATATACATATATATATATATATATATATATATATATATACGCACACACTATTTTTTAATCGCTACCCATATTTGAGTGGATGCTCTATTTTTTTATTTATTAAAGAGTATATTTATTTATTTCCATGTGCAGACCTGAAAAACAGACTATCTACTCAAATATGGGTATCCATTAAAAATAACGTTTAATCAAAAAAAATTAAAATATGTCGGATATATATATGAAAAATCCATTTCCATTGTATATATATATATATAAAAACATTCATATATATATATATATATATAAACTTTCGTATATATATATATATATATATATATATATATATATATATATATATAAACATTCGTTACGTTGCTATTCTATTGTGGCTTCGGAGTTTGATGTCAGGCCTGCCTTCCCTCATTATGGCTGAGGCTAACCTCCAGGAAAGTGACTCGTTGCGACTTCTTGGGTTAACATTTGCAGCTGACATGAAGTGGAAAGTCTATATTGAATCCATTCCCATGTCAGCTGCTAAAAAAGTCGGTTCGCTGCATCGGGCGAGACAATTTTTCTCTCCAGAATCGATCTTACATAGTGTACCATTCGTCCATGCTTAGAATATTACTGCCTTACATGGTCTGCCCCACCCCTGCTATTTACATTGAGCTCCTTGATAAGATCCAATGAAGAATTAGCAATATTATTGGTCCTGATCTGGCGGCTCGGCTTCAGTCATTTTCCCATTACCGTAAGGTAGCCTATCTATGTATTTTCTATAAACACTTTCATGGTATTTGTTCGGATGAGCTCTTCGCTATAGTACTTAGACTTTATGAATTTAAGCGCAGTACTAGACAAGTGTTGAGATCTCATCAAGTTACAGTTGAGCGATTGAAAGGTTGCATATTAATTTCCCAAAGTAGTTCTATATTTTTTATCTGTTTTTTTTTTTTAAACTGTTAAACGGGCTTTTTATTTAACAATTATAAAATATTATGTAAGAAGCTGAATGAGCATATAACAGGTTAGCATTGTCTTAAATTACCACCCTACCCTTTTTAGCTTTTACTTATTTGGAAAGTTGAATGTCAGGACTTCGATAAATCTTACGAAATAATGTAACAAATTTTATCTGTCCATAAGAAAATTGTCTAGGATTTATATGCAGATAACTTTGTGTCATGATCTATATTAAGATTTTTTTTCCGGTGGATTTGAATTTAGCATAGGTCACATTTGATTGGTTAATCAAGGCAAAGCTCACAAATCTATTTGTTTTTTTTTAAGTATTCTACTTTTGAAATTATCTTTCGCTCGCCAGTGGTTTGATATCGCCCGAAGAGTCACATTTGTGGTGATGAAACTTGATTGTAATCGTGTAGCAATTTTTCACATGTTTTTGTTTTAATATGATAAAATAAATTATATATATATATATATATATATATATATAGCAAATTGTAATTGGTAGGGATTATTCCAAAGAGAACTTTTCAGTCCATATGAGAGCTCAATGTATGGTACAGAGCAAATTATGAGAATAATTACTTAAAACTTTAAAAGTCCATATTCTGTAATAAATTTATTTCGATGTATATAAGCATATTCGTCTCATCAGACCAACTACATTTCCTACGGACACACACATGCACACACACAAACACACATATATATATAACAAAAAATAAATAATAATAAAAAATGATCATGATAATAATAATAACAATAATAACAAATAAAATGAATAAATGAAACATAAAAAGTATCTATAAAATAATATATATAAAAATATAATAATATTAAATAATTACAAATAACAATAATAATAAAAAATACTGATAAAGATAATAAACGGTATATATGATGTAGACATCTGCATGATAATCACATAAATATGAAATACATCTACAGACCTATATATACATGTGCGACATGCACATGCAATTACTTATACACATACATACATACATACATACATACATACATACATACATACAAACGAACACATGCACACAAATATGCTTGTACACATATACAAATAAAAACCCATTTCATACGTGTATT